ATGGGTTCCGACCGAAACTTAACTAAAAGTAACTTTAAGATAAAACAGAGTTTTAAACAAATTTTTCCAATCTATTCGTTAACTTTGAAAATTAAAAACCCACTCCACGCTATTCGAAAAAAATTCCAAAACCCTCCAGATATCAACTAATATATCCTAAGTTTCCAACCCAATTGATTTCACTTGATTTTCTTATCAAAATAATTATCTACAATTTATTATATCCAAACTTGTTTTTTGCAGCACTTTAAAGAAATTGACGGTTCTCTTAGTATACACGAGCAATCAATGCAAGGACAAAAATTTAAGAAACTAGACTCGTAACTGGTTCTAATGACGCTGATTTGATCATTTTCGAATTTATACCCAAAGAGAACAACACTCCCGAACTTACTGTTTTAAACCAGTTTTCTGGACAGATTTGAACGCATCAGTTTATATGGATTTTGACTCCCAAAAATTATGAAAAAATCCACATATGCAATTCAATATGTAATTAATTTACTATAAAAATTTCAGTTCAAAATTCATTTGTTTGATATGGTTTCTTGATTTTTAAAGTTTGTGGTTCTGGATCAAAATTTCCATCCACTATTGTAACCCAAAACTTTCCATCACCAACCCCTAGCTTCACACCACCGTCCATCATCCACACAAAACAATGACTTCAGCAACTCAATGATTACCATGGTCTTAATTAAAGAAAACAACATACATGCTTATATATAAAAATATTTACCTGCACAATTTGTTTTTCCTTCTTTAATTTCCTTCACAAAAGACATCTTCCTTTCTTTTTTCTCTATATCTCACGGCTGCTGTTAGGGTTGTTTAGAAAAGAATTGATATCTCACCATTAGGGTTTTATGCTCCTATAATAAATTTTCAAAATGACCCCTTACTAACTATATTATTATTATTGTTACTATTATTAAGATTATTATCAATAGTCTTTAAAATTGTGGACTTCCATAAAAAAATTATTTATAGTTTAAAATTAATTAAAAAATCCTCCAAATATTTAATTTGCACTATAGGATTCACCATCAAAATATTTGAGATTGTATTCTTTCACAAAAGACATCTTCCTTTCTTTTTTCTCTATATCTCACGGCTGCTGTTAGGGTTGTTTAGAAAAGAATTAATATCTCACCATTAGGGTTTTATCCTCCTATAATAAATTTTCAAAATGACCCCTTACTAACTATATTATTATTATTGTTACTATTATTAAGATTATTATCAATAGTCTTTAAAATTGTGGACTTCCATAAAAAAATTATTTATAGTTTAAAATTAATTAAAAAATCCTCCAAATATTTAATTTGCACTATAGGATTCACCATCAAAATATTTGAGATTGTAATATTATTATTATTTAATTATTTACTTAATTTTTATATTCGGGTTCTCACATTCTCCCCCCCCCCCAAAAGAAAAGTTTTGTCATCGAAACTAACCTGAGTAAATCATGAAAATAGATGTGGGTACTTCTTGCGCATTTCGTCATCGCGTTCCCAAGTCGCATCTTCAACTAGATGATTACACCACAGTACCTTAACCAATTTAATGGCCTTTGTACGTAACATTTTCTCTTTCGAATCCAAAATCTGAACAGGCATCTCCTCATACAAAAAATCCTCTCTAATCTGAAGCGGCTCATAATCTATCATATGCGATGGACTATGCACATAATTTCCTTAACATAGACACGTGGAACACATTATGCACTCCTACCAACCTAGGGAGTAGAACAACACGGTATGCAACCTCACCAACCTTCTCCAATACCTCAAATGGACTAATGTATCTAGGACTCAACTTTCTTTTCTTTCCAAACCTGATGACTCCTTTCCATGGTGATACTTTCAAGAATACCGTATCCCCCACATGAAACACTAAATCTCTCCTACGATGATTAGCATAACTTTTTTGTCTACTCTGAGTAGTTAATAATCTCTCTCTGATGATGATAATTTTCTGTGTAGCATCCTCCACCAAATCAGGTCCCAACATTTGCCTCTCACCAAACTCATACCAACACAAAGGAGACCTACACTTCCCCCCATACAAAGCCTCATAAGGAGCTACTCCTAAACTAGAATGATAACTATTATTATACACAAACTCCATGAGTGGCAAATAATCATCCCAATTACCTTTCCACTCCAAAGCACAAGCCCTCAACATATCCTCAAGGGTTTGAATAGTCCTTTCCGATTGCCCATCTGTCTAAGGGTGATAAGCTGAACTAAAATTTAACCAAGTACCCGTAGCTGACTGTAATGCACCCCATAACTTCGACACAAAATGAGGGTCCCGATCTGACACTATTGACACAAGTGCACCATGCAATCTAACAATCTCCTTCACATACAACTGTGTAAATCGAGCTAGAGAATAGTTCATTTGAACTACAATAAAATGTGCTGACTTGGTTAATCTATCCACAACTAACCAAACAGCATCGTGATTACTACCAGTACGAGGTAATCTGCACACAAAATCCATGGTAACATGATCCCACTTCCACTCTAGTATAGGTAAGGGTTGTAGTTTCCCCATGGGTTTCTGATATTCTACTTTAACCTGTTGACACACCAAACATTAAGCCACAAATTCTGCAATATCTCCCTTCATACCATTCCACCAAAAATGTTCATAAAGATCCCGATACATCTTAGTGCTTCCAAGATGAATGTTGTAACTAGAACTATGTGCCTCTGTCATAATCTCTTTCTTCAAATCACCACCAGCAAGAGCACAAATTCAGCTACCGAATCTAAGCAACCCATCATCACTAACCACAAAGTCTACATGCTTACCCTCTGTCATCTCTCCTTTAATATGCTTACATTGGGGGTCAATCTCCTGAGCTAAACGAATCCGTTCTCTCAAGGTCGGCTGAACTGTTAATTGACTACAATAAGCCCTATCACCAGGCGTAACAACCTCAAGCCTCAAACGTCTCATGTCTTCCACCAAACAACTCTCAATAGGTAAAACAGCTACATCTCCAACTGCGACCTTCCTACTCAAGGCATCTGTCACCACATTTGCCTTCCTCGGATGATACAAAATATTCACATTGTAATCTTTTAGCAACTCAAGCCATCTTCTTTGCCTCAAATTTAGTTCATTTTTGTGAAAATATAATTCAAACTCTTATGATCAGTGTAAATCTCATATGACTCTCCATATAAATAATGCCGCCAAATCTTAAGAGCGAAAATCACTGTTGCTAACTCCAAGTCGTGCGTAGGATAATTTCTCTCATGTATTTTCAACTATCGTGACGCATAAGCAATCACCTTCCCATGTTGCATAAGCACACATCCTAAACCCTGTCGTGAAGCATCACTATAAATCACAAAACCACCTCCATCTGTCGGTAAGGCAAGGATTGGAGCTGATGTCAATCTCTGTTTAAACTCTTGGAAGCTATGCTCACAATCATCATTCCACTCAAACTTTATCCCTTTCCTGGTGAGATTGGTAAGTGGCAAAACAATACGGGAGAACCCTTCCACAAACCGTCTGTAATATCCAGCAAGCCTTAAAAAGCTACATACCTTTGTCACAGAAGTAGGTCGTGGCCAATCAACAATTGCTGCCACTTTCGTGCTATCCACAGATACCCTATCTTTACTCACCACATGACCCAAAAAGGATACACTACTCAACTAGAATTCACACTTCTTAAATTTTGCATACAGTCTCTTCTCTCTAAGGGTCTGCAGTACTACCATCAAATGCTGCTCATGCTTCTCCTTACTTCTCGAATAAATTAGGATGTTATCAATAAACACTACCACAAATTTATCCAACTGGGGTTTAAATACTCTGTTCATTAAATCCATGAATGTGGCTGGTCCATTTATGAGACCAAAAGGCATCACCAAAAACTCATAATGCCCATAACTGGTTCTAAAAGCAGTCTTAGAAACATCCTCATCCCTTACCTTCAATTGGTGATAGCCTGACCTTAGGTCAATCTTAGAGAATACTTGAGCTCCTTGCAACTGGTCAAATAGGTCATCAATGCGTGGCAAATGATACCTATTATTCACTGTGACTTTGTTCAATTCTTTATAATCAATACACAATCTCATAAACCCATCATTCTTCTTCACAAACAACACAGGTGCTTCCCAAAGTGAGACACTAGGCCTAATAAAACCTTTGTCTAGAGACTCCTGTAACTGAGTTTTGTAACTCCCTCAACTTCATTGGTGTCATTCTATAGGGCACTTTAGAAATAAGTGTTGTGTCAAGGACCAAGCTAATGGAAAATTCTAACTCACTATCTGGAGGAAAACCAAGTAGATCCTCTAAACAAACATTAACAAATTTTCTCATTACAGGCAACTCCTCTAACCTCTACTCTAGTTGTTCGGTACTCACCACGCAACCTAAATAACCATGCCACCATTTTCTTAACGTTCGGTTAGCTTGAAGGGAAGAAATAAAACAAACAGAAGACCCTTTCCTATCTCCCTGAAAGAAAAATTCATGTTATCCCAGCATAGTAAAAACTACCCTATTTCTAAAACAACCAACAGAGGCATGATGCTTTATTAACAAATCCATTCCCAAAATCACGTCAAAATCCTGCATCTCTAAGGAAATCAAATCCACTAGAACAATCCTACCATCCAAGTTTATCTCACAAGATCTATAGACATCTCCCAACACTACAATTTCTCCTAATGGAGTAGACATAGCTATACATGCATCCAAATGCTCACAGGGAATAGACAATCTGTGCAGATATCTAGGTGCTGACTCTTAACCTTCAAAATGAAATCAAGAGAGGATAAACACAAGCTTAAACAAAACTAAACACAACGAGCAAATGGTTTTTTCTACATCAAGAGGTTCAGTGATATGCATAGTTGTGGTACGGATGTCCGAACATCGAAGAATTTAGTTCTGATTTGGTGTTGAGTACTATATCTAAAATTGTGAAGGACAAGCCGTTAACTCAGCCTTGTGACGTGATGACTATTTTGAAGAGAGATTATGGGCTAGATGTGAGTTACTACGTGGTATGGTTGGGCGTAGAGAAAGCAAAGGCTGTTATTAATGAAAATCACTTATTATCGTTTGACCAGTTGCGGTGGTATTTAGCTACTGTGATGCGTTACAATCTGGGAAGTTATGTCAATATTGACTATCACGCAAGTAGTCAACAGTTTTGTCGTTTCTTTGTATCATTCGTTGTGTGTATTTTTTGGTACAATTCTTGTCGGCCTTTATTATTCTTTGATGGAACATTCCTCAAAGGAAAGTACAAAAGTCAGCTACTTGCAACAATGGCAAAAGATGGAAACAATGGTTAGTATTTTTTTTAGCTATGTATCCATGTAAATATTCACATTGAGCGGCATAGTGTGGATATATGACAGACTATTACATAGTGTAAACATTCACATGACCTGTTTGCTTAGTGTTTTTGTAAACTACTTGTGTTACTATTCACATTGGAATATTGTGTACAGTTGTTTAATAGTGTTGTGTTGTAGGTCTATTTCTTGTTACATTTGCGATTGTTGATTCAGAGACCACGACCAATTGGTTGTGGTTCTTGCACAAACTTGGGAAAGTTATTAATGGTAAGCGTCAAATTACTTTTATTTCGAACCGTAATCTTGGTCTGTTAGAAGCGATGTCGAAGGTGTTCCCATCGGCTCACCAAGGTTATTACTTACAACACTTGAAGAACAATTTGAGAGACCGGATAAAGGGAATTGATAATGCATTTAGGGACCGCCTCGTTAGTAGTTTGGGTGACTATGCTTACGAGCCAACTATGGTAGGGTTCTATGAAAAGCTTGAGAAATTAAAAGAGGAGGGTAAGCAATGAGCTCATAGTTTTTTCAAGGAGTTGGCACCTGAGCACTGGGCGAATTCGTATTTTAGGTAATAGTAGCTTCCTGATGTATTCCATTTTTCAAGTTTAGAATGGTAGCGATGTGAAATTTCAATTATGTTTTGTGATGATGTGAAATTTCATATTTAATTTCGAAGAAATTTAATTCAATATTGTAAAATGTTTATGATGTTATGTAGGGGCATGCGTTATGGGGAGATGACATCCAATGCGGCAGAGTCATTTAATAATTGGATTAAAGAAACACGCAATCTTCCTATCACTCAGATGGTGGACACAATTCATACTCAGTTGATGCGGCAAATGTCTGCGAGACGTAACCAAGCAAACAAGTGGAATGAGCTTATTTGTCCTACATTTGAAACAATGCTTCTTGATTCATTCAATGACAATAGGTCTTGGCAGGTGAGCAAAGCCAATGAGGATGTGTTTGAGGTTCATTCTATACCATCTGTTATGGTTGATATTGCAAGGTGTACATGTTCTTGCTTCAAATGGCAAATCAACGGATTCCCATGTAACCATGTTGTTATTGGTATTTAGAAGACCCGCTACAATCTCAATGATTGTGTGAAACATTACTTTCATGTAAAGACGTATCGTGTAGCCTATTCGGGTGTCATATTCCCTATACCGTCGGTGGAAAAGCTATCTTTTGATCCCATGGACTTCACTGTATACCCATTAATTGTGAAAAAATCACCGAGTAGGCTGAAAAAGAATAGAATCCCGTCAAGGGGTGAGAAATTGAAGCAAATAAGGTGCGGGAGTGTATAGACTCCATTTTTGACCGCCCGTAGGACTTGGGCGCTTTATTCTAAACACCCAATGATGAAAGTTTTTTACTATGCAATCTTTTGAATTCTCAATGAAAAAATTTGGATTCAAGCTCTAATCCCAAACCCCATTTTGGCCAAACTATTTTAGACCTTAAAACCCTCTTTTTCAAAAAAAAATTCCAAATGCTTTTACGATGTTCCGAGGCTCGCATTTCGTTTAAAACATTGCATTTTTGGGTAAAGTGAGTAAGGACAAAGTGGAAATAAATGAAAGGGAAGTGAACTCTTTAAAAAATATTTTAAAACATCTTAGTTATAGGTTTAGAGTTGAAGAAAATAAAAAGGGAGGGAAGAAAACTAGTTGGGGAATAAGTTGGGCATCAATCCGTTAGGATTGAAATGAGCAGTCTTGACTAAAATAGTCGTATCTCTTTGCATACTTAGAATTTAGATGTGAGGCTACCACCATTGAAAAGTAGACTTCCGAGGCTTCAATTTAGACTTAAGAATCACCTAAAACCGAGTCCGGATGAGGGAGATATGCCCGTTTGAAATCAGGCCTGAAGTGTAGATTTTTAGACCCAGCCGGGTCCATTTAGAATCGGCCATCCCTCATTGAGGCCTGGCCGGGCCTCAATGAAAAATTTTCCTGGGATGCTTTTTAGGCCCGGCCGTGGGTTTTGGAGCCCGGCGGGGTCTTAATGGCACCAGATAGAAAGCTGGAGGGAATTGAACAAATATCTTTGTTTGAAGATATTTTTGACCATTTTGGCTCAAATTCTATAAATAAGACCTCCTACTTCAAATTTTAAGGGTTAGAAAAACTTTCCAAAGGGCTTAGGCATTGATGAGAGATCTTGAACCTTCAAGTTTATTTTGTTCTTCAAATTAACTTTCACCCTCTATACACCATTAAAGCTTGGATTTGAAGCTTTCTTGTAGAGAATTCAAGGCATATTTTTAGAACCTAAAGGTTAGAGAATTGTTCTAGAAGATATTTGTAGAAGCTTAGACATAACTTCTTTACAAAAGCTTTCTTGACCTTCAAACCTTCTTTAGCTATACATACACAATTCATACACCATTGGAGCTTGTTCTTAAAGCTTTTTGCTAGAGTTTCAAACTATATTTTATAAACTTGAAGGTGTATGGAATCAAGTTTGATCAACAACCAAAGCTTGCTCTCTTCAAAAGGTATAAGTTTGTCCCTTTTTTTCCTTGCTTTCATTTTAATCTTTTTCTATCTTTTTCTTGTGTTTCCCTACTATTTTGGACCTATTTCAAGTGTTGGAACTTGGGGTTAAAGAGCTACCAAAGGTAGAGAGGCTTAACACTCTTTTTTGCACCTTATCCCATAGCTCATACCTTATCCCATAGCTGATACCCTTCGTTTTTGATTTATTTTCTTTGGTTTTCATATTGATTTTTAGAGTTTAAAAGGGCTGAAAAACATGGCTTAAAAGTTTCAAAAGTGGAGGGGTTAGCCACCTCTCCTTGATCTTGCTTACCAGCTTTATATCTCTTGCTTTTGTCTATCTTTTTGTGCTCTTTAAACACACTTTTAGCCATTGTTTTTGGGTTGTTTTGGGACTGTTCTTGGACTGTTTTTGGGACTGAAATATGTGATTTAAAATTGCAAAAAACGAAGGGGTTAGCCACCCCTCCTTAGGCTTTGTTCTATAACTTTTCCTCTACTCTTTTTACTTACCTTCCCTTGATTTTAGCCACTATTTTTAGCATATTAAGGGTTGTTTTAGGGCTATCTTAATTTATTTAATTAGTGTATGCTTTGAATATATAGCTTGTTATGTTGTAAGTCTTCATATCTAGCTTGTTGTGTTGTGTTACCCATGCTTTGATAGGTTTTCCTTGGTTAATTTTCATATTAAAAGTCTCATTGTAATAATCAAATTCATGTGTTCATTTCTGTAACCTCTTTCTTTTCTTCTTTTCTTTTGTTTGAGAGTTATTTCAACCGATTGATGGTTATTCAAAGCATGAAAATGAGACCTATGCTCAATGACTTAATCTCTACGGAGGTTCATCGTCAACGGTATGGTCTCTCTTTCATGTTTAGGATCACCTCTCATTTGACATTTCTTCTCGTTTAGTAGACGTAATCATCACTTTGGACAAATGGGCTAAGAAAATTGCTAAAATGAACCGACCCACATAAAGAAAATGAAGTATCTTGCTTGGGTTCGGCCGGACGTTATGCCGAGTCCATTGTGTCAAGGGTTGTCTTACATCAATTCATTATGTTTTGATGAACCTTGAATCGTTTCTACCTCCCTCTTTGAGTCCATTCTATGATAAGAAGGAGGGGTAGTTATTGATTCATTACATTCATTAATTTTTGTCCAAAATCATGCCCTAACTCATCAAGCAATCAATTTGCTCATTGATGATTTTGGAAATGGCTTTATTTTTCTCTTGAGGCTTACCATAAGAGAGAAGAGTAAAAGGGACAAACAAAGTTTAGAATAATTCTGTCTGCACTGTTTTCACCTCAGAACACAAAAACAGAGTTTTGCATACAATTAAGGCACGACCGGCCTTATTTGGGCCCGGCCGGGCTTCATTGGGAGCTGGCCGGCCATCAATGTTTAGTAAGGCAGTGTGTTTTGCAGAAGTAGAGGGCAGTGACTGGGGTGGAACAGAGTAACTTGGGTAGACAGAGGAACTTCTGGGCATCGCATATGCAATCGTCGTGCCTCATGGTTGTTTGAATTAGTATTATAATTAATTATTGATTGTCATAATTAATATTGTTAAAGCAATGTTTCGTTAGATGGTTAGTTTATTTTGTTGTAATAGATTAGCTAGTTAGTTAATTATAACTTAGCTAGTTAGTTACTTATTCATTCATAGTTTATTTTGTTGTAATAGATTAGCTTAGCTAGTTAGTTACTTATTCATTCATTCAGTTTTATAATAGTTAGTTTAATTCGGATTCTCGGACATTGATTCGCACCCTCTTGTGCGAGGGGAAAATGTAATAAGTTGTATGTCTTCTAACCCCACGTCTTTTTCCTTTTTACTTTATTGTTTATAATGATTAGAATAGAACATCATTTTTCAAATTAGCATTCTTATACGTTGCATCCATTGTCTTGCATGTATCGAGGCTTGGTTCATCATTCTAACAAGCATTGCCGTTTATTACTTCGTTGAATACGTGCGTTACTGCATGCTATCAAATTAATTCACATGTCATGTTAATAGCCGAGCCTATTTAAGATGGTATATTGCATATGTTGCATTAGTCATTTTGTATCTGTAGGATCATGCATTTTTTCTAATTTTTTTATTTCTTTTGACTTGCCTTGGAGCACTAGGTGAACACTTATTACTTTAGCATAACCGCATGCGTGTGATTGTTTCCATGATAAGCATGAATACCACAAGGCTAATTGCTTAAATGATATAACTATTTGAATGCCTGTGGATGAAGGCTAGTTGTTTGAATTGGGATAGTTTGATTAAATGTCCATTTTAAGCCCACTTTTTCAAGTGGCAAATTCACAAAACAATTTCAAATTAAACATGAAATCAAATGTTCCAATTCTTACAAATTAGTCTATACCTTGTGTGCTTCACATAGTAAAATAGCTAATAAATCAGAACAAGAGCATATAATATAAACAAAAATCACATCATGATTAGTAGAGGCCGATCTTTGATCGGGCAAGTGGGGTGTTCAATTCATGGCTTTCCCCTCTCATACCTAAGTTCCCAAGTTGAGACACTTTAGTAATGACAGACTAATAGCCTTTGGCACGAGTCTTGGATTTGTTAAATTTCTCAAAAATATTTAGGTAGTAACTCTGAAATCTGGCAAAACAGTCCATTTTTGGCATTTGATTCAAATATCGATTTTCCAAAAGAATTACCAGATTTTGACTCTTTTTGTGCTTTCACTATTTCACATTACACTTATGAAATCAAATTCAGAACCGTGGGAGTCCGAACTATAGGGCTAGTCGTATCCGAAAGGAGCACGAAAAGTCAAGCTACAAGGAGATGTGATAAGCTGGGAAGCCACAATCGAAAATCATGCAAGGAGCCGATATAAGGTGTACATTTTTTCATTTCAACATTGTGTTTTACATGGGATTCTTATATTGATTTTTGAAATAAGATTGTGTTATGTTGACAAACATTGTGTTGCAATAAAATTACGTTGTGTTGGTAAACATAATAATGCATTGGCAAACCTAATAATGCATTAGTATTTGATTTGTGTTTTTTTTTTTTTTTTTTTTGAGTTGCAAACTGACATTTTTGTTGGTGTGTTAAGGATGAATACATGATGTGAACATTCACACTTGTATAAGATAATCATATTATGTGAATACTTGCGCATGGGTTAAACTTTTTAACATTATTGTGGTGTGAATATACACATTCTTGTTACCATTAATAGCATCAAAGTAAATGACATGAATATTTACATCACTGTAACTATTCATATCATCAAATCAAAATATGTGAATATTCAGATATGTATTACGAAATTTAATTGTGAGTGCTTTTTGTTAGCAAAAATAAGATGTTCTTATGTATATTATGATGCATGCATGGGCGTGGTGTGAATATTGACATCGTTGCTGCCATTCACATCATCAAAAGTTACAATGTGAATATTCACATTATCGGAATATTCACATGATCAAATTATTTGCTGCCAATACTGATTTATATGTTAAGAAATATCATAATCACACATGTCATATTGTGTTACAATAACACTTTAAGTAATAT